CGTCCTATACAACATTGTTACCATAGAGGTTTCCTGAGTATCAAATTTCTTCGCTTCACTGAAAAAAAGGGATTAGTATAATTTGTGGAAATGATCGTTACATTCGCTATGATCTTGCTGGCACCGCATGCAGTAGCCTACTGCGAATATTGGGTGATACCGAATATTGGTTGTACTGATTGTAGTGGCAGTAGCTTGATTAGCGCTAGATTTGCTGCAAGTATTCTCAAAGATCAAGCCATCAGAATCGTTGCCTATTTTATATTATAGTTTTACGGTAGGGATCATTGCACGCTCAAAGTAGCCCATTCAGAAATCGATCGTTGACACTTTGAGAAGAATTCATTATACAAGGTATGAGCGTCGAGTGTTGGCTGCTCAGAAGAGGGATCGGCCTGGTACAATCTTTCAAGATCAATTCAGGTTTTCATCAGAAAAAGAACCACGGTTTTGCTATTCAGATCTGCCCTTATCTGGTTGGCACCATCTCAATCTTGCTAAAAAATTCGACTTGCCACCGTTAGAAGACAAAATGCCAAGAGTTGACGGCAGCACCTTATCAGTGGAGGAATTTCGCGAAAAGTATGAGCAACCTCGCATACCCTGCATGATCACCGGTCTCACGGAGACATGGGCAGCTCACGAAAATTGGAAGATTGATGTAATCCCTTGCAGTTTCTCTGAAGTAGCAATATTCGTACATCAATTCTCTGCTTCAGAAACTTCTCGAAAAGTATGCAAATGCCACGTTCAAATGTGGTGAAAGTCCAAACGCCAAACCAGTCTACATGAAGTTCAAGTACTATGCTGAGTACATGCGCAAAAATAAAGACGACAGCCCATTGTACATATTTGATGGAAAATTCGGAAGAGTATGGTGTTTCAAAATTTTGTTTTATATATGCCTTACAACTTTGTAATATTGTATCAGCAGGCGCCTAACGCTATTGTGTGCGCAACACAGTTCTGCGGCGAAACGGAATGGTGGGCGTGAATTCTCGAATTGGCCCGATACACTATGAATATTTGACTTCTAAGCTGGATTCTATCCGCTTGTCCCATGCCCCATCCACCGATGGCTTTTGACCTTCCCTCCTTCGTCAACCAATTGGCCGCTTTCTCCGGTCTCCGAACTGTCTCATGGTAGCACCAATAGGGCGGAAGTGGTGTAGTGGCAAGTGGCACGCTTACCACGCGAGCGGTCCGGGGATCAAATCCTGGGTCGTGAGTCGCCCGGGCCAACCAAGCCTTCCATCCCTCCGGGGTCGGTTAATTGGTACCAGACTTGTCTGGGAGGATAAAAACACTGACTTGTACATCGGCTGGCCCCCGCAAGTCATTGTATAGGCCACATCGCATTCAAACGCCACTACGAATGTACAAATGGAAGTAGAATGCGTGCCGCATCCCAAAAAGGGATTGATCAACGGCAAATGCTTTATCCTTTATTTTTATTTATGGTAAACACCGCCAATTTCGTTGCATGTTTCACCTATCTTTTCTTCCTCGCCAACCTCTCCCCACTTTTTACCGATCTCTGAACTGTCTCTGAGCCGATTTATATTTGGCGGCGAAACCCTGCTTTTTGGTGCATGCTCCGCACACCATTGGAAATTCACTTCCTCCCCTTCGCCCACATTTTTTCCCGATTTTTGGAGCTTCGTGAAACTGATGGTGAGTTATAAGTTCGGCAAGAAACTCCGCCACATTGTTTGCTCCCTTCCTTACCGACCTCTACCTCCTATTCTCCCAATTCTCTGGAACCGAGGCATATCTTTGGAAACAGATCCCGCCGTGTAATCCTCACCCACCAATTGCAGTTGGCCTCCTGTCCTTCGCTAACCTATACACCCTTTTCCACCGGTCTCTGGAACTCCTTGGAACCGTTACTGTAGAGTTTGGTGGCAAACTCTGCCCACTCTGGTGCGCGTCCCAATATATTGACTTCCTTCGCTTCGTCAACCTTATTTAAATTTTCTGCCCTGTTCCCAAATCTTTCTGGAACCACATTAAGTCTGGCAACAAACTCCGTCCAATCTGGTGCACGTCCCACCCACCTATACATGTTGACCTTCCGCAGACAAACTCTAAAGCCTTTTTCAGTCTCCGAAACCTCTTGGAACCGGATTATGAAGTCCAGCGGCAAACCCCGCCTACTTTGTTGCATGCCCCGCCCACCAATATATTGGCTTCCTTTCCTTCGTCAACCTCAATCAACTTTTTTCCCGGTCTCCAGAACTTTTCGGACACCTCTGGACTCCTCCGACGAATTGCAAGCCAACAATAAATTTCTTGCTCTTCACTCTCAGACTTCATATTCGGGTAAAGCACATTTAACGATTTACTCACTCGAAACCGGTGGTGAGCTTCGCTCTGAGATAGTGGCTCAGTTTTTAATCCAAGAGACACTTGCCAATGCTCTATACTCCTCCCGGCCCTAAAAAGTGCCAGCTCTGTCATAGGTCGTGTTTTCCACGGCTCAAAATTGCTCGATTTTGTCACTGTCGTTATTCCTCGCATCTCCATTTTCAAGCAAAATCACCACAAAGAACTAAACGTAGATGTGCCGCTGGACAAACAAATACCGCGTCGCGTATAAACTTGTCGTCATCATAAGTTTGTAATTCAGCGACATGCTACAATGGACATGGTGAACGACTATGAAGTTCCTCCTTACTTCCGAGGCAACCTTTTCGAAGCCTTTGGTTCTTACAAAAGGAAACCTCTGTTCAGGTAAGAAGTAGCGTTTTATAAAGCGATAGATCTGTGTTGGAAATCTCATAAGACTGAAACAATTTTGCTGAACTGAAGTATTGACGTCTTTTCTTCAAATCACTTCGTTATACTTACTTCAAGGTATGATCAATAGAATAAATGTTCTCAACATTACAGATGGATTGTGATTGGGCCAGCTCGTTCGGGGACCAACATCCATATTGATCCTCTTGGAACAAGCGCCTGGAATGCTCTGATTCATGGTCATAAACGGTAGGCATTCTTATTAGAAATAACTATGCAGTATCCTGTGCCATAATTCACTTTTTCAGATGGGTTTTCATTCATCCGGATGCACCACGCGATCTTGTGCGAATTCCGAAAGACCAACGTGGTATCCACGCAAAAGAGGCCGTCACATGGTTTTCTACCGTATACAAACGTATCTATGACGGAGACTGGCCGTTCGACAAATATCCGGTGATAGAATGCAGACAGAACCCTGGCGAAACCGTATTCGTTCCATGTGGTGAGCGGAAGAGGTGGCACTCTTCATGTTGATTTCTTCCTCTTCTTATACTCCTTACCATTAGCTAAATTCTCGACGTGGCAGAGCTCACTATTCCTATCCCAGATCCTATTCCCTTCTATCCATGGCGTCTTCTGCCAGACTATTGATATTTGTGAATTCCTCAGAGACCACTCAGAGGTCACTGTACCTGTTCTCGTGAATCCCCGCAGTTTCCTGCTCTCTGATTTGAAGCCTAGTACTTTAGTTGTCAGGGATGCATAGTCTTCGTATCACGTGTTTATATCACTGCAATGAACATGTAAAACCTTCAGCGGAACAGGGGCAGTTTGCATGACAGTCCCGTCGCCAATCATTTTTGTGACGATTTTTTGCAGTGATTATACTGGGTGCCCAATGAAACCTTGGGCAAAAAGAGTTACAGCAAACGTGGTGACTTCTGCCCCAGTTCGCCGTGCGAATTATCTATGGTTCGCAGCTTCATGGCAACGTTCAGTGCACTTTGAAAAGCAGGGCAATGATGTACCCTGTAATTTGTATCTTTTATCTTGAATACATAAATGGGTATCAAGGCATTCGTATGACATTTATAAGAATACGTACCATGTGGATCCACCTTTACGCCTTTAAGAAATCTCGTTTTGTATATAGGATCGTAAGGAATCATATAAAATGTAGTCTGTGAAATGAGAACCCTGTGAAATTTGCTGTTTTCCTAGACCTCTCAGAGAATGTAATACATTACCATCCATCCATATTGAAACATTGATCAGTTTTCTACAAAATCTGTTCTTATCTCAGCAGGTAGTGCATTTCTTACTCTCGAACCACCCTTTCCAACATCAACCGATTTGATTAGGACGATGGTTCAAATTGCTCGCCTCGACGTGGTTCAATCGCTGGGGCTACTTATGGGCACATACCGGGATGGTTCCGAATGGAGGAATCTTTTTGCTGATCGTGAGTAGGATGAAGCAGTTCACGAAGATCGTAGGTGTCCTCCTCTCCAAACTCTAACAAGGAGGGGGAGGGGGTCTTTCAGGGCAAGCCGCGCTTTTTGAAAACGGTTTCTTGCATATTGTAGGGACGCATGTATGGACCACAAACCATGTTTCGTTTTCGCTGAACGGTTTTAGTAGTACAAAAAAGTGGTGAATGATACCCTTGATGGTTCGATCCCCCGCGGCGACTAAATTTTGCAATCAAGGTTGGCGGCCACTTGTTGGCTTCAAAATGGTGACGATGAATTTGACATTTGATTTTGATATTAGCGCGATTTGGCACCAAACCGTAGGCGCCAACCCAAATGCAAAATTTAGTCGCCACGGGGAATTGAACCATCAGCAGAACCTTATGGTTTTGTGTTCCCTACATGCATTCCTACGATATGCAAGAAACGGTTTTAAAAAAGCGTGGCTTGCCCTGAAAGACGTGAGTGCGCAAAAAGGACGCTACTTCATCGAATGTCCGCTTCAATCGTTTCCACTTTTCCTCGTCCGCAGCAACACCTTGCTTCTTCCTATGTGTCCCGTTGATTCAGCGCAGAAATGAGCAAGCTCTCAAATTGTTGGTTTTTGATTCTATTTCATTATTTCCGAAGGTCTGCCCACTTCGCCACAATACTTCCATTCTCTTGTGCAATGAACGCGTCAGTGAAATCATGGAGTGTTCCTTTAAGTTCTTTTCAATCACAACCGATCAGCAGCAGCAAGCTTCCACTTACTTCACTCAAAACAGTCAAGAAAGCTGTCATTGTTCTGAAGTGTTTTTACAATTTCATGAACATTTGTTGTTGGTGAATAATTTCGTAATGACGACACCCGATAGGATATTTTTGGCAGGATGGTGGCACGTGGTTATCAATGAAGACGACACGGTGGCTGTAACACAAAATTTCTGCTCAATCACCAACCTCATCTACGTGTATCCCACACTCGTCAAGCAAAAACCGCGCTTGGCTCAAATATTTTATGAAAGGTACTATGGGTTCTGATATAACTGATTAATTTCAATTCAAAAATTGCCCTCAGTTTCTAATGCCTTCCACTACACATGCGAGACGTGCAATCCATAGTGACTGTCCCTACTTTTATTCGACCGCCAATAGCTAATTCTTGGCAGCACTTATGCAATGAGCTCTCGATCCGATCAGGTTGATTCAACGACTTTCGACAGGGGTCGTAATACTAGCTTGACTGGTGTTACACACAGGTACAGTAGTTGACCGCAGTAGGTGGAAGTCCTGAAATGAATCTGGAAAAATGCGGCCTAGGATAGGAGCTAAATATCATAGAAGTATTCTTCTTCTTCTAAGCTTCTTTATAAGCTTCTTTATGAATTACCATGACTCTCGGGGTACTTTTGAAGGTTGGCTGAAAAACATCCTGAACTGCTCGACATAATCAATAAAGCTATGTTGGACCCGAAACCTATAGCGAACGGATACGATACATCTGATGAAAGTGGGAGTGAGGAAGACGAAGATGACGACAGTGACGACACCATATCTTTGTATAGCACCGACGTGTCTTGTGCGGAAAGGTCAGTTTTTTACCGTAGTAGCCTTACAGAATGAGGAAAAGAAATATAATAGAAAAGAGGAGAAAGCTGTCTATTGCCAATCACGGTGAATATCGGTTGAGGAAATCCTCGACAGGGGGTCGTATTGTCAGGGTGGGTCATGGGGGGTCGTACTCGTGGGGGTCAGTAACGTCAGTGGCATCGTGGTGCAGATAGGAGGGAGAGGGTGTAGCGCAGCAGAAAACAAGGATATGTGAGAAAACATGATATAAATATTCTTTGCAGGTTCAGTCGCTCCGTCCCTCTACCTTCGAGAAGGAAGTATTTGAAAGTACTACAAAAAAGCTACAAAGAATGAAAGTGCATCTTTGCAAGGAACAGGGTCACATGTGCACACGCGCTGCGAAGGCACTTCTCTATCTACCGCCGCTCTCTCGCCCTCAACATCGTTGAAAATGACACAGTGTTAGGGACGCTGTCGCAAAAACGACTATGCAGGGGAGGGGGCAAAAAAAGAGTCACTCTCACTCACATTCAAAACAGAATTAATTACACTTTGCCAAAACCAAACCGAATGAGCTCAATTGCATATTGAAGAGCACATTCTATTCTATCAAAAAATTACATAGGGGCTTTCTACACCGACGACATCAGAAGATTTTCCCACGGAAACATGGTTCGCGGTACGAGCTCAACGAGGTCGTCGAGAAACCATAGACGATTACGACGTCTCTGAAACGCTGGTCAAAAGCCATTTGCATAGTCAGAGCTAGTGTCCCTAAGAAGCCATTCACCAGTTATCCGATTGAAGAAATTATGTAGCAGCTTCAGAATGGAGCGATTATGTATTGTATCTTTTTGTCCCCCTTGAGCTCGACGGTGATGACAGATGACGTCGTATTCTGGAGACTTTTGTTTGTGTTTTTTTTTGGAGAGCAGTCGAAGGTGGGCCTGATTCTGCTTATGGGGGGACATCTAAGGAATAATTCGCCGTACAACTCCCAATAACAGCGACATCCTTTGCGACGAAAAGTTGGATCATATGCGCCACGCCATATGCAAGTGACTTTTTTTGGCCCCCTGTAGTTCTGGAAAGACCCTGGCAAATGAAGCTGTTCCTTAGGTTACAGGAGTTACGAAATGTGTTTACTACAATACAGTTTCTGTCAACAGGTCATCATCATATGTAAACACCTTTCAATAGATTCTACAACTTGAGTGGAGGTCGGATGCATGGCCTATACTGAGACGAGAATCGGACGATGACGATTGCCCCTTTTCTTATCGCTTACGTTGGGAGAATTTATTCTAGACACATTTCGAGCGTTGCCAACGAATTACACTTGCAATGGTGAAGAAGGGAGCGGTTTTTAGGTGGCCGAGATCCGTCCTCGATAGATCCTCGACGCAAATATCTCCTCAACTAGAAAATGTAGAAGAAAGCTAACCATAAGCAGACTGTTAGAAAGCGCAAACCTTCCGCTTTCACCGCTGTCTTCATTTTTTAAAAGTTTTCAAGAAAATAGGGAGATAAAGATAAATATAGAATAGAAGATAAATATAGATAAAGATATAAGGTAAAAAACTCGCATGAAAAATTCAGCGTCCTCGACGCTGCCTCGACAAAATTTGAGAGACCCTATCTCTTCGAGTGTAAAGCTTTTAGATCAATTTCAATATTGCCCGGTAGTAGCAAATCCAGCTCTATCTAACCCTACCACATACTGCTCCAAAGGTTATGAAATGGGGAATGGAACCTTTTCATCGAGAGTGTAGATTTCGACGGTTTCGAGCGGGGTTTCGGCAAATCCCACGGATAAACCGCGCTGCAACTGAATGCTTTGCTGTACATTGATGGAACTCGCTCATTCGCATCAAATCAATCTACCTACGGGGGATCTTACTGATGTGACCAAGTCCTCGACACGATTCTCACCCTGCTGCCAAATGGCTCAGTTCGCGCCAATCCAACACGTTTAAAGGCAAGAACGGGGTTAGGTTTATAAGGATGTCCCATTTTATATGAGCTAAAGATGGAAGATGGACTGCGAGCGCAGGAAAAACGAAAGAAAATCGTCAGGCACCCAAGAAATACGAACCTTGAGTTCTACGTTGCAATGATGTCTAGGAGGCAGGCAGGCATGAAAGAGAAAATGTGAGTAGCGGCGAGGGGTAGAGAAGTCTGTAGCAGATCAGCTTAGCAAACAGGTAAGATATGGAATGATGGGCGGGCCCTGGTAGTGTTGGTGGGATTTCGTCAAAGTCCTTAGCGCCTAGCGTCTCCGTGAAAAACTGCGTTGGCGAAGGTGGCGCGACCTCTGCTCTGGCGGACCACACACCTCTATCTATCTCTATCTTTTGAAAGTAAGTAAGAGGCATGGTCCTTCGAAAGGGATCTATGAGTGTTGAGCGTTTATTTCATAGGTAGCACTGCTGCGATGAGTCTGTAGGGTGAATCAAGTTACTTTAGCTAAGGTTATTTTCCAAATGTGGGGTACTAATTTTGCAGCGGGTTTTTATTGAGTAAGGTACTGTTTATGTTAATTGTTCCAGTTAGCAAGTCTCGTATTCTATTCGCTTTTAGATAAATTGCATGATCTTCCGTTCGCTGAAATTCCTTGTATTCAGTAGGTACAGCGCTGAAGTTGAGTATGAGGGGGATCACGTGAGCGAGGAGTCTGAGCTAGAGTTCAAGACGAAGGAAGAGATGGATCATGTATCAGACGACGACAAGGAATCTGTAGGATTATGTAACCTTGAAGAGAAGGAAGACGACCTTCGCTGCACCAGCGAAGACAGTGAAAGTGAAGCGTCCTCAGAAGAGTATGGTTCTGATGAAGAGAACGACGAAAATGAGGAAACATCAGAGGATGAGGATGTTATCCTGAAGATGCCGATGAGGTAAGTCTCCGCTTTCTGATCATTTTTGCCATTTTTTCTTCTGAAGAACTGCCACGTGCTCAAAAAAAGCAACCGATTTCAGTGGACTCAGTGGAGTAAAGCGTCGCGCTCAAGAGGACTCCTAGATGGAACTGCTATTGCAATCATTGAATGCCTTTCTTTTCCCTTCTGCTGCTTTGTTTTTCCCCAACTCGTCTAGTGGAATCACATTACCTTTCAGTTGATTGTTCATTTATTATATTGATGTCTGAATAGACATGTACCTTTCTTGTTTCACACATATGGAACGATTC